CATTGTATTTCAGTATTATTAATGTCATTGTTTGTCTTTATTCACGTTATAGTTATTTCAAGCTACTTCATACTAAGTTGCTTCAGTTGTGTCCGACTCTTTGTGAACTCATGGACTGTAGCCTGCCAGGCTTCTCTGTCCATAGCATTTTCCAGGCAAGAATACTTGAGTGGGTCACCATGCCCTTCTTTAGGGGATCTTCCTGACCCAGGGATCGAACCCATTTTTCTCAGTATGGTGTGTATCATTTCAAATTTCCCTTTGTGCATTTACATAGATATGTGTACCATAGAAAGCACACAGTAGTATTTAGTATGAGCCTATGTGTGTGCGCTAAGTTGTGTCCGACTTTTTTACAGTTCTGTTGACTATAACCTGCCGGGCTCCTCTGTCCATGAGATTATCCAGGCAAGAATGCTGGAGTGGGTCGCCATGCCCTACTCCAGGGGATCTTCCCGACCCAGAGATCAAACCTGCGTCTCTTATGTCTCCTGCATTGGCAGGCAGGTTCTTTACCGCTAGCCCCATCTGGGAAGTAGAAATTAAGATAAGTAAATTGTTGGTGATGAGGTCTCTGTAGTACTTTTGGGGAATTAGCTTAAAAAAAGTTCTTTTGTGTAAACATGATTGCTTGGAGATTGTTTAAGCAATTGATACACTAAGTATAAATGACATTCAGTCATCAAAAGCACTGTCCCAAGCAAGTTTTCTTAATAACTTTGTTTCCAGATAGTTTATGCATTGCTTGGTTATTGGTAGATTTCAGTCAGATGTAGAAGTACCTTTAAATATTAAATAATATTTTGTAATATATCACAATTATGCTTTTCGTGCATATCTACCCCCTAATTAGCCTAATATAGGTTTTTATGGTAGGCATAATCTATTACTCTGAAATAATTTGAAAAGATTATTTTTAAAGATATGAGGAAGCTAGACAAAGAAGTAGCTGACAGTTTTCTTTGTGGGGAGAGGAGAACATTATAATTAACCTTGTTAATGTTTTATAAAATTTATTCATGCTGCATTTTATATTACTCAAAAAATCAGGCAGAAAGATAAAATGCCCTTTCATTTCTTAAGGATTTCTGTGTTGATGCTATCAGATAACCCACTGACTGGTAGTATCTTTGGAGCAGCTGGATTTTGTCCACCTGAACTTTGAGTTATTCTTCCTATCCTTTTTAAATTCTTATCCTTGACTGTTCTGCCCTGATCCCCACATGTTCTAAACTATGTACTTGTTACCATGTTATCTTGTTGCAGTACTTTTGAAGCACCTGTTGTAGAGGTATTTTAAAAAATACTAAAAACTTGTCTTCCTTTCATCAGACATGTTTATGACTTGAAAGACTGTTAATGCCTATGATTTTGTTCATTTGATTTGTTTTTATTTCCTCCCTTTCCCCACCAAGTTTTGGATTAGTTTATTTTGGTATTCTAGTTTATCTCCCCTGTTTTCTCAATAGTTCAGCTTCTTGGTTTTATCTTTTAAAAGATATTTGTTCTAGGATTTATAGTATACATATTTAATTTACAATCTACCTACAAATAATACTATATCACTTTATGTATGAGATTCTTAAAGCAGTTTGCATACCTTTGGATGGGGAACTTAGAAACCAAGCTCTATTACCTTATGGCGAGCCCCCGCTCTGTGGAAAGTTCTCCATACCCCTCTTGGTCTCTGACATCTCATGCTAGGTGGCTGCCACCACTCAGGTCTGCACTGATGTTCCTCTGTGGGCCCCACCCCCACCCCCACCATCCCTTCCACCTAGGACTCGCAGACTCTACACTGTCTGCTCTCTGCCCCTTGTGGCATTGCTCTTCTTGCCTGGTTATTCCCAACATGTTGCCCCAAAACCTGTTTTCTGATGATGAACTCTATTGCTTCCAGATATTTTATTTCTGCATTCTGGCTGTTTCCTTTTGGTAGCTTTTAGTTTTCTATTCTAGTTTATTAACACCCTCCATCCATTCTAAATGACCCGACATAGTTGTGATCTCATTGTTGTTCAGAATTATTCCTTGATTCCTTTACCTGGAAGAAATCTTTGTTTTCTTTTTGTTTCTCTTCATAGCATTCTCTATCTAGTTGTGATATTTTCTTTTCACTATAGTTTAATTTATAAGAATATAATTATTATTTATTTTAAGACTAAGATTATGTTAGTAATCTTTTAAACCATAAATTCACTGTAGGCACTTAATAAATAGCCCTTGAATGAAAAACTGAATGATTCAGTGTGTCTGTATTTCAACAAAGAATTTAAGGTGCTAAACGTTTGTTTCTGATCTTTCCTGCCTTTGATTTTGTGTGGCTCTTTATTTTACTCACAGATGGAAAGTCGTCCTAGTAGCTTTGCATCTCTTTATCATTTTATATGACTCAGTATATTTAAAGTGCTTAGAAGAGTTCATAGCACATATGAAATGTTCAATAAATGTTAGCACTTATGTTTATGACTACAAAGTTTTTAATTTTAATCATTTTGGGTGAGTTTTTTTAATGAGATACATTTCTGAGAGTTGTTACCTGAATATATTGAGCATCCTTGTTTCCTTTATGAATTAAATCCTTGTGAACATCAGCAATATATAATTTAAATTTGTGTTAGTAGTCTATATTATTCTCTCTCACTTTCACATCTTGCTACTCCTAACAAATTAAGCTTATTTTATCTTTTTAAATAGTTTATGTGGTTCTCTCCTCATTTCCATTCCACTGTTTTACCTTAAACCTGTGCCTCATCATTTCTTGCTAATGTTTTAGGAATTTCATAACTGCTGTCTCTATTTATGGTTTCATATGTTTCTTCAAGCCATCCTTTATATTGTGGCTAGAATCATCTTTCCATGATACCGCTATTATCAGTTAACTCCCCTAAGACTCTTCCCATTGCTTGCAGGATAAAATTTACACTTGTTTTTGACATGGCTCTGCCTCCCACTTTAAGTAGCCTTAACTTTTGCTGCATTCTCTCTGCCCCCTAATCTCCACCTGTTCTGAACTCTTAGATCAGTTCAAACTCAAGTCGTGTGTATAACTGAAAAGTCAATGAACTCCTGAGTTAACACAGTAAGAGTTCTTCTGCAGTTAAAGTGCATATAATAGCATCTAATATAGCTCACCACAAACCTTTTGGATTTATTTCTGGGTCTTGATGGCAACCAGGTCCACTATTCTTGCCTAGAGAATCCTGTGAACAGAGGAGTCTGGCAGGCTGCAGTCCATGGGGGTCTCATAGAGTAGGACATGACTGAAGTGACTTAGCACACTTGATGTATTTCATATTTTTGAGGGTGATAAGTCAACTATAGACTCACTTGAAATATTGCTTTTTCTGGGAGCATTCTTGACTCGTAAGTGGCTCCTTTTCTGTGTTTGAGTGGCAGCTAATCATGCTTCAGTCCTAATACTTGCCATGCCATACCAGTAATTTTCTTTGTAATATGGTGTCTTAACTGAAGCTAAGTATTACCCATACCAATTTGTAGCATTAGTTGACATTCTGCTAGGGAATCTCCATGTGCTTCAGTCAGTCTGATTTTTATGTGAGTTGTGTTAAATTGTTTAGGAAATACTCAAGTCAGTGTCTAGTTACCTAACCTAAATTATCAAGACCCATAATTTGCATGGGCTAGAACATGAATCTTGTTCAAAATAAGATGTGTGTGTGCACGTGCATGTGTATGCAAGTGCACAAGCATGTGTAGAGAGAAAAGCACACATGCTGTATCTGGAGTTGTGTCAGGATGGGTATCAGTAGAAGCCAAATGCTGGAAAGAACAATGAGATAAAGTTTGCATAGCTGAGAAAGACATCTGGCATTTGTTGGACAAACTTTATACCAAGTCTGAAGGGAATAGTTGTGATTCTCAGGACAGTATTATTATTATGATTATTTAATACCATGGCTTCTTGTGATATGATGATTCTACAGCATGAGAAAGTAGATAGATGTGTGATTAAAAAAGAAAGCCTACCATTTCATACTATATATTAATATAATATTTTAGGTACTTAAGAAATAAAAGTCTTACTGTTCAGAAATGTTGAATGTTGAAAAAAAGTGCATCTCTGAATCAGAGATAAGCAGTATAATCACTGGGAGTCCAGGCGCTTTTATGAGGATTCTTCTGTTGATGGCCAGTTAGTAAAAGTTGGTAGAATTTTATTACTGGAAGCCCACACCTTTCATTCTTCTTATCCCTTCTGAAACAGCTGAACACAGAAGAGAAAGGAGATTTATCCTCATCTGGATGAAGTGCCTAGTAGCAGATATCTGAAGGGAGATACAGACGGAGGCTGAGTGAATAGACACTTGGGAGGGTAACAGGGGTCATTGTCATTGTCCCAGTGTGATACTTGGAGCGACGGTTAGCAGTGTTGGTGGTCCTGAGATTTTGTCTATAGAAATTATCTGCTTTGACTGGAAGAGTGGCTGAGAAGGGCTCATTTGGCCCTGCAGACCCGTAGAGTCAGTGTCTTCATGGCCAAGTCAAATGAGAGCAAGGAGCTGGAGAGCAGCATTTATATTGGAAACACTCAGATGTCACTGATTACATGATTCCCATTCCTTTTTTCGAGAATTATCATAGAGTCATAAAAAGAATAGCCCTGAGATCTTGCTTCTTGTCGGAGAGCCCTGCTGATAGTACTAGACTGTTCTGTCTTCAGTGCCTAGCACCATGTTTGATACATAGTAAATATATGGGTGGATGTGTAGGTGGATGATGAATAAGATGTTTAACTATCATGTTTAGTCACAGACACTGTATACTGATGTGCAGTTTTTAGAATACAGAATGGCTTTAATTTTTGAAGCATAAATAACACCCAGTAAAAATAAGCATGCAAGAGGAACTAATTTAATGAAAAGCAGATTTTTGTTTTTTTCCTCTTTTTCTTTTATGTTTATATTTTCTCTTTTATTAGACATAATCATGTGACTAGATTTATAAAGATGCTGACCAGTTGGTTTGTTTTCATGCAGGGTCCTGAATTAATGAACAAGTATGTTGGTGAATCTGAAAGAGCAGTTAGAGAGGTAAGATTATGCCTTAAAGTGGAACTCTGCATAGGATAACCACAGTTCTGTCCTCTAGTTTCCATTGTGTATGGGGTTACAGGTTTACAGTTTCCAAATCTAAATTCTAGTGGTATATTTTTTTATTCAGGCACATATTATTTTTAAATTAATTTTGGTTATCTACAATACATAGTCTCTGTTTTTAAACATCATAATATTTCTAGCCTCTAGTTTTAGCACATATATTTTTTAACAACTATCAGCATCCCATTAAAAAAAGGATATTTATACTTAACAGCTAACACATGATGTTAAAATGAGATTTAAATCCTTTAAACCAGGTAGTCCTTTAAATCAGATAAGCTTATTAGTATATGAAAATTTCAATGTACTCTCCTTATTTTATTTACTTTACCTTTAACTAGTGATTTAGAAAATGCATCCCCCTTCTCTCTCTTAAATTTTAAAGTTAGTGATTGGCCTACTGATTACTTCATATTGCTGAAGCTGCACAATTGGGAAATTCATGCAAAACCAAGGCACTGAAGTGGGATAAACTATAGTAGTTTGACCATAAGTTTTGGTGTCCTAAACAAAGGCTGGCCTGCCTCACATGGGCATCATGTATCTTCCCAGATGCTGTTCAAGGGCAAAAATACATAAATAGCAGTGGAATGGATTATCTCCATTTATGAAATATGTGGATACCAACCAAGAGTATTAGAGATTGGAATACTTTGTTTTGCATGTGAGAAAAAGTTTTAAGTTACAAAGTTTTAAGTTACTTTTTGTTTCTTTTTTCTCCTTGAAATATAGATGATGGTGATCATATAAAATATTAACTGATAATGATAGCACCCTTCTTCATTAAAATATGAAAAAGGTGGTGCTTTTTAGTACTAATGTTTTGGTAATTGTTCTGTATTTTTATGGTCATCATAATTGTGACCAGAAAATGGGGGCCTGGTCACACAAATTTGTGCCAGGTAACACAAATTTGAATTTCTTTCTGCCTGTACTGACTTTTTCTAGCCCATTTCTTCATATTGCCTCATGGCCGTCCAGCCAGTCTTTGATTTTGATAGCCTGATTGACTTCTGGCCTATGCAATCTATTCTCTTCCAAGTTTTAACTATGTTTTTCCATATAGTCTTCAGAGAAATGAGCAAGGCATGTGACTTTTAGGTTTTTGGGTATTTTATATGCTAAATTTTGGCTGATTTTACACATTATTATTTTTCTTTTAAACTTGTGTTTATGATAGATAATAATAACCATCATTTACTGAGCTGTTACCATGTTCCAGGCATTATCCTAAATGTGTTGCCATCTTTTTAAATTCAGTTCTTAAACTCTTGTGGCCAGCATTTATCATAATCTCCATTTTAGAGATATGGAACTTGAAGTTTAGAGAAGTAAAGTTATCCACTGGAAATCACACAGCTACTAAGTGGCAGAGGTGGGATTTTAACTGAGATTTAAGATTTAAGTAATTAAGATTACTTAAGCCAAATTACTTAAGCCAAATCCTGCACACCTCTAAGAATATGTATTGATGTCTTGTCTGTTTGCAAGTAAGCACCATGATAGAAGGGTATTTTACATCCGTTATGAAGCGTGAATACATCTGTTACAGGTTGTATACAAAGTTATTGAGCTAGTTGACTGGTACATAATTGATTTGGTTCTAACCATTTTCAAACTAAAACTAGCGATGGAATTTTCTGAAGTTTGCTGATCTTTAGCTAATGTGGCACTCTTTCCACCAGATCTTCCGGAAGGCAAGAGCCCTGGCTCCTTCCATTATTTTCTTTGATGAACTTGATGCCTTAGCAGTTGAAAGGGGCAGGTAAGAAATAATTAAGACTGCCACTCATAACTGTATATTACCAACTACAGTGTAGAGGAACTAGCACTTTTTATACAGATTTTGTTTATTAATATTATTAATACATTTGGCTTAAAAGAAAACTTTCAACTCACATGGTTTTTTCTTACATACTTAAAATTATTTCATATTACTACTTTATTACTTCTGAGGTAAATGGAACAAAAGGTCACAGATAGCTTAAGTTCACCTTGATGCAAGGGAAGAATAAGAAGCCAGAGAAGTTTGCTGAATTGGGGTGATCTGCCACATTTATGTGCCATCAGAGACATCTGTTTTTGGAGCCTAAAAAGGAACAGGATGGGAAACATTGTTAAATATGAACCAGATGGTAGGTAGAATATATAGCAGAGTTCTCATAAAATGCCTTTGAAATATACTAGTGTGAGAAACCAGACAAGATACTTGGTAGGAATAACCTGGTTTTGTGGGCATTTTGGCTCAGTAGGAATCGGCATATGAATTAGAGATAGCAATTTACAGCTTCTAGATACCATTTTCTCTAATCGTCTTCATCGTATTGTGAGTCCTTCCTTAGTGACTCATTCAGATAAATTCTGTGTAGTTTCCTTTGCACAGAAAAATTTTGGTCAAGTTAGTTCGTGCTTTGAAAACAAAGATAAGGCTGACTACGAAATGTAATGTTAATAGTCCAAACAGAGAATTTCAGTTGTACTTTAGCTATATTAAGTCTTAATTAGTTTGGTTTTTATAGCCATAAGAATCTCATAGAATGATATTCTGTTTTCAGTTGTCTTTTCCCTGTAATTGTATAATGAGCCAACATTGCCTAGAAAGTTATTGTTCTGTCTAGTTAAGAGTGCTATTACCTGAAAACTAAAACAAACAAAATCTCGACACATATGTTTTTGTTCGTTAGCTGTTTGAATTGGACACAGTTTCTAGAAATTGGAAAACACATCTTTTGATAGATAGCAAAGTATAAAATTCCCCAAATACTAAATCAGGTTTAGACTTTATTAAAGAAATAGAAAACATAGGAAAACAGGAAAAATTTTTAATTATATAAACTATTACTTTTCTCTATAATTTTATGCATTGCTTTCATTTTTTAAAATTTTCTGTAATAACATTTAGATCAAACTCATATGACTAATCCAAAAAAGATAGTGCCTAAGAAAACTTTCTTCTTATCATGATTTATATTTCTGTACATAAGATGTTTAACAAATTGAGCCATGAATTATAATATATGCTACTCCATACTATCCAGGGTGTTAATTCAATTATTTTGACTATTTGAGTTTACTCAAATTAGCCATGAAACTGAGGGTTGCAACCTGCACATTGTAAATAGAGTATAGACATACCATTTGCTTAGCTTTAGAAATATTTGTGCTTTCAGAAAGAGAGATTTCTGCTTATAAAAGTGTCTTCTTTCATGCTTACAGAAGTGTCTACTTAGAACCATGATTGTGTCCTTTTCTCTGCCCCATTTAAGTGTCTGTGGGACTTGAAAAATAAGTCAGCCTGTTATTTACTTCTCATTTTCTGTATGCCCATTTAAATTATGGGTGTTCTGGATAAGATTTTTTTGTCTGATTTTGTTTTGTGAGTTGGAGGAAGTGTTGTAAGATTCCCTTTGTGAGGTGCTTTAATAATCTCTGTAATATTTGGGAAAATTGAAAATGCTGTTGAAGTAGCATGGCTGTTTGGAAGATGGATAATATGGTAGGGAGAACAGGCACTGAGGTAGGGAAGGATTTGAATTATCCTGAGCTAATGAGTTGGACTGTGAAGAAAGCTGAGCACTGAAAAATTGATGCTTTTGAACTGTGGTGTTGGAGAAGACTCTTGAGAGTCCCTTGGACTGCAAGGAGATCCAACCAGTCCATCCTAAAGGAGATCAGTCCTGGGTGTTCATTGGAAGGACTGAAGTTGAAGCTGAAACTCCAATACTTTGGCCACCTCATGCGAAGAGTTGACTCATTGGAAAAGACCCTGATGCTGGGAGTGATTGGGGGCAGGAGGAGAAGGGGATGACAGAGGATGAGATGGCTGGATGGCATCACTGACTCGATGGACATGAGTTTGGGTGGACTCCGGGAGTTTGTGATGGACAGGGAGGCCTGGCGTGCTGTGATTCATGAGGTCGCAAAGAGTCGGACACGACAGAGCGACTGAACTGAACTGAATAATAATATTGGGGAACATTTATTTACTGCTTACCATATTCTAGAAACTGTTTTAAGTGCTTTACAGATTAAAAAAAAAAATCACAAAAAGGTCCCTGCATTAATAGAAAGCAGGTTATTGTATAGTTGACTCCAGTACTCTGCCCTGCCTGCCAGCTAGCTTAAAATTTCACCTTTTTCAGGATTATAGTTGGGAAGGGCGAGCACTCTGGGTAGTAAATCATCAGTCAGTTTTGTCTTAGGTAACAGTTCTGTCCCCAGAGGTGAAGACATATAGGATGTTTCCCCGTATACTATATTCTCTTGGCCCAGACTCCTCTGATTGAGGGAATGGCCACTAGACTAATCCAGAGATTCCTAGAAAAGCTTTCTCTTTCTCAGATGTTCCAGCTAGTCACTGGATCCTGAATCATCCTCAGCAGCTGGCATTAATTGCCTGGTCACTCCAGACTTCAAGCAGAACTAGAAATTTGGAACTAGAAACATATTTCTGAAGGTTAGAGTCATTGAATGCAGAGGCCCATCTTATTTTAACTTACAAACAGCGTCACTCCACTTGGGTTTCACTCACAACGTTACGGCCTTTTGCTTATATCAGCCTTTAATCATCACCACGACTCCCAGGAGGAGTAGGTCCTATTTTCATCTCCAATTTACAGGTGAGAAAACGTAGGCGTGTAGATCCATAACTGCTTTATTCAACATCATTTATCACAAGTAGCAGAGCTGAAGTTTGAATTTACATATTTTGACTCCAGAGCAGATACTCTGAGCCACTTTTTTATTTGACTGTCACACCACAGATCTCAGGATTGCTTGTCCAAGTAGTTAATTAACTAACCTTTCACGATTCTATTTATTGTACGTTCTCTTTGTGAGCCTGTGAGTATAAGACTCCTTTGCAACTTTCATTCATTCACTTGTTAAGTAAATGTTTATTGAGCGCTTTTTCTGCAATAGGCTTTGCCTGGGGGATAAAACAGAGAACAGGACCTAGAGCAATTACCTTAACCTCTTTAAGCTTTAGTTTCATTTGTAAAATGGAGATAGTAGTAATAAATTCTAGGTTGTTGGAATTAAATACATGTAAAGTGCTTTATGTACTGCCTGGCATTTAGTAATTGCTTAAAAAACTTGTTTCTCATAATTTCTGCATTGATATTCTTGTAATAATGGTCATTTCCATATAAATAGAAATACAGTAGTAGAGATAGAAATGTAGTGGAGGATATTGAAGCATTTGGGAAATTAGAGTATTCTACAGGTGACAGGCACTACGGCATTTCAGCAGTCTAATTTGCTATTAGTTGTAAGACATACCATTATTTTACATGCCATTACTGAAGAAAAATGCAGCCCTAAACTGTGAAATGGTACTGAGAAATCAACAACTCCAAGGAATATCCTGATTTCAAAAGTTTTAAATATGAAAAAAGTTTGTATTTTAGAAATAGAGGAAAGACATTATTATTTGGGAGAAAAAGAAGATGATCTGCTGTGTTTTATAAAACTAAGGCTGCCATATAAAAATACTTGATATATTGTTTTATGACTAGAGTATTAAAGAGATGGTTAAATATATGGAAAAATGAGAAGATTAAGTGCTCTGTTAAAAGCTGACTGATATATTCTGTGAAGTATTAGACAATCTGTGATATTAATAACTGTTTTCTTGTATAGCTGTTTCTGCACTTAAAGTCCTGAATTGATTTCCATTTGGAGTGGTTAGGGGGAAAAATAAGTTCTGAGCCAGCTTTCATTGAAAATGAAAATTCCAGGCTTAGTAACATTTTGAAAAGAGCTCTGAGTGTTAGAGTAATGGTCAGGAAATGGGGCAGCCTCTTTTGCAGTATTTCCAGATTTCAGGTAGCTTCAGTGAATTCATGACACTGAACACTATAGAAGAAATTTTTGTAGGCGTCATTCTGTAAATGACACTTTTCAAAGTGGGTTATACATTTTTAAATGTGATTTTATAGCAGTATTTGGGCTTCCCAGGTGGCTCAGTGGTAAAGAATCCACCTAACAATTCAGGAGACACAGAAGATGTGAGTTTGATCCCTGGGTTGGGAAGTTCACTAGAGGAGGGAATGGCAACCCACTCCAGTATTCTTGTCTGGAAAATTCCATGGACAAAGGAGCCTGGCAGGCTGTATGTAGTCTATGGGTTCACAAAGAGTTTGACATGGCTGAGCACGCCTGCATGCACATGGTGGTATGTACAATTTCATAAAATCATAAAATTTTGTAGCTGAGAAAGTTCTTAGAAATCATCTAGTACAGTCTTTTTTTAGAAGGAATAGAAGCCCCTAGAATTTAAGAGAAGAGGTGCATAACTCCTTTGTGGCCTAGACAAGGCTAGAGCTCATGTCCTCTAATTTAGTGCTCGCTGGATGATAATACTACTGCCTTTAGACTATCAGGATTTGGGATAAAAAAAGTATGTTCATATCAGGGTAAAACTTACCATGTATCTAAATATTTAATGAATATTTTTTATGTAAGAAACTCTAGCAATAACAACTTATTAAATACTTTTAACTATTATTACTTTGTATATCTCTGTTTCAAGTTGCTAAATTCATTGCCTATTTCCTGGTATGCAATTTTTTCTAATTTATACTTCATTGCCTCATAGTTTTTACATTGTTGAACTTTTAATATTAAACAGAACTGCTGAAAGAAGCAGAGTAAAAGAAGAAATGGAGCATGTGTAACTGATTTTTTATTATAAGAGTTTTATGAAGTATAGCAGATTTCTATGAATATTTTGTTTTGCATTTTGTCTAAGCATTGGGGCTGAGT